GCCTGTCAGTTACATCAATCAAGGGGACTTTATTAAGCTGCCCATTTATTTCTGTCCCAGGCACATCATAATCAATAATAGTCATATCCTCGAGCTAAGCCATTGGAATGTTCTTTCTGACTCTACTATTGTGATGATAGCTATGGCCACACTATCACTGGCATGTAGGTACCTTTCCAGCCTGTGACACTATCCTTCTCACTGAAGGGGCCAGGGCCACTTCAGAGACAGCTTCCTCTCCCCATCATCCCCATCCTACAGGAAGTAGCCACTAAGCACTTTTCTAAGCATGTTGGTAGTCTTATCAAACAGGGAGAGAATGGCCAAATGGGTCACATATGGTAAAACCCCCAACCTTACTAGCTATATAAGTCTTTTGATTCTCGCCGGCATGTTACTCGAATGCCTTTCTGATTTCATCATATTTTAATCAAGGCTGTAAGTCCAGGTTCGGTTAGACAATTGACAAACCATTAAGCCACTCCTTCCTGGAGAATGCTATCCTCAACTCAAGAATTTCTGGTACGTTATACATCTATTGATAACCTCAGTTCATTCTACAAATGTTTTCAATGTTAGCTCCTGAGAATCTATGATTATGTGTTACTCCAGACCAAAATCTGCCAAATCCTGCCACTGTCCACCATCTCCCACCAGGACAGTTTCCCTGAAGCATGCCATGCAATTTTCCTGGATGCAACGGCACAGAGAGGAGCAGCATGGGAAGGGCCAGCCTCCCTTTGTGGGGTAGCTACCTCAGCTAAACTTGTAAGAGTCTATGTAACCAAGGCCTATGGCACCCGATAAAAGAGGGGGACTGCTTTACCTGACCAGGCAAGGCCAACAGGATTGAGAGATTCAGGTTATCAAATGCAGCCATATCTACTCAATACTCACAATGCAATTCTTGTATCCTTGTTTCACAACCAATACGACAACATTTGCTAGACTCTTTAAGTTGTGAACTTAAGTTTTTATCTCCTATAGGAATAAACTTTGGATCTCGTTTGGAGGCATTTCTGGTCTGCAACTACAAAGTACTTGAGAGCCCCTTGAGGCAGTTGTAGAGGCTCCTTGTCCTACCCTGAACCAAGAACTGAAGGTGGGAGCTACCTCTCCGTGCTCTGCAGTGCAAGCAGGAGCAGCCTTGTCACTGTCCTTGAGATCCTCATTGCATCACGATGCTACAGTGTGGCAGCCTGCCACCTGCCAAGTGGTCACCTTTAATTCCAGTTCCATTCTAGATGACTTAGCGATGAGCCTGGTGAAAATATTACCGCATTTCCCATAAATTACTGCTCCCTGTAAACTCAACTAAGGCAGGCAACTAATTCCATATAATCTTTAGAACCATTTCTTGATCATGTTTAGTGCTGCACACATGCTGAGTTACATGTATGAAATTCAATGTATGAAACAGATACCATTCAAGGTACCCCAGACATACACATAGGCATTCTTTCTCTCTCTCTCTCTCTCTCTCTCTCTCTCTTTCTCTCTCTCTCTCTCAGAATTAAATGCTCTTACAATTATTAGTAACTTGGAAACATGGTCAGAAAACCTCCTTTAGCTTTGACTCTGACTTCAAATGCGCATGACTAAGTCTGCCGTGTCTGCCGTTACCGTAACTGTCTGCAACCACAACACTGATGTAGGCAGCAGAGCACAGAGGCCAGTTGTTGCCAATTGTCCTGAAGAGCCCATGTTTTATCTGTACCACAAGATGTACCTGTGTCCTCTGCCTTCTTAAAATTTCAATTGATTACCTTGTGCTGACAAAAGTTGAAGTTGTCAGAGAAACACAAAGGAATCTAAGGAATGTAAATTTAGCTTTCCAGTCTCTGCTATGCTGAGGGAAAGCAGAGAGAGCTCATTGTGCCAGTAAATGTCTAGCACACTAACAAAGACGGAGCTAGAATTACGATGTAATCAACCGTTAGGGTAGACCTCTAGGATGAGGTCTCTACTGTAAGAAATCTGTTCCTCAAACTCATCTGCCATTGCTCTTTTGCTCCAAGCCCCAGGATATTTTCTTAGTGCAGAAAACAACATAATTCTTCAAGCCAAACCACAGCTTCCCGCCCCTTGCCACCCCTCAAATACAAAGGTGAAGAAGTTACTTTCTCTTTTGTGATCATGGAACATCTTTAAAAGTTTTCCTAATTTGAACTGAAATTAGAGAAACGTAAAATCTAGGGATGTAGTTCAAGGGTAGAAATCTTGCCTAGCATGCATGAAGCCTTAGTTTGATACCCATCACTGGGAGAGATATATATATATATATATATATATATATATATATATATATATATGAGAAAGCATGTATGAAGAGCTAATGCTCTTAACTATATAATATGCCTATGGAATGTGTTGTCCAGGATGCCCAGATTAAGGACAGCAGAACATAAGCCACAAGGTGGGGCACGACTTGTTAGCATAATGCTTCCATATCATGCAAGACTCACCGTCTACCCACACTCCCTCATTTCCAAATAGCTAGGTAATCATTATTCTTGAAAGACTGGTTCTTAGGATCCTTTCCTCACAGGGAGGAGAGATACATTAAATCTAATGTATCACAGGTGACAAGGGAGTTCTAGCCAGTTTCCCTTCGCCCCCTGGCAAACACAAAGCAAGGAATTTTAAACTAAGCAGAGGATCAAAGTATGGAAAGGCAGGGAGGGAGCAGGGGAGTTCAGATGGTTGAGGAAAGACTGTAAGGAGGAAAGAGCTGAGAGAACAGCTTAGCTGTATCCAAGATATGTGTAATAAACTGGAAACAAAGCAAAACCATCAACACTGGTAAGCTCCAGATTATTAAAAATATGTTTGCATTTATTAGGAAAATCCCTTTATGCTGTCAGACATAAACACAAGGGACAGACTATCTCAGTCTGTCACCATCTGCATCCTCTCTCCCGTGTAGGCCTCATTAACACCATCTTCTCAGATATGGGAGACACACACCAGCCTGACAGGCAGCCTGGGGCCTGCGGAAGCTCCAGGAGCAGGCCAATGGCTCTGCTAACCATAGCTTTTATTTCAAGCTGGGGAATCCAGGGGCACAAGTAAGCAACATCGCCACCAAGTGCCACCCAAGGGACAGCTATATGACTCTGTTATAATGTCTGGTTTCTTTCTTTCTGCTCTTTAGGAGATAGAACTGGAAAATTACCGAAAGCCCTAACAGTCTCGTGACTATCCACCTGCATCAGGCTTTTAGGACTCCTTCTGAGGGCACTGTGGCTCTTGATCTTTCCCTGAGCAGCAGCCCTCGGCCACAGACAACAGAAGTCACTAGCAAGGGCCGTGACACTGGCAGAGTCCACATTTCAAGATGTGAAACTTTCGAGTGTTCAGATGCCTGGAGTGTGGAATGGAAGAATCAATGAATTAGTAATGCTGAAGTCGAAACTAGCAGCTAGTCAGCGTCTGTCAGGAAACAGATACAAGAGCACAGGAAGACAAAGAAAAAGAAAAAAGAAAAAAAGCTACACTCATTTACTATACTCGAAAGCTCGATGTTTCAGGTGTTTATAGTCAAGTATTTGAATGTGTAAATATAGTCAAGAATTTGAATTTGTAAATATTTAATAATTCCCTATTTTCTACTTAGGAAGATATTTTCATGAAAGAAATTTTAATACAAAGGAGGTGCAAGCCTCGTTCACTGGGCGTCAGCAGCAAGGCCTATGACTGTTGTGTGATGATTCAGAAACTGTCAAAGCTATTAAGAAGGGCTGTCATTTCAGCATTTAAAGTCATCTTCCATAAACTTATAATAAGGACTAAGTGATTTAAATATGAGATTTCTAAGAGCCTCCTCAAAATTTTTTAGAATGATTATGTTTCATGTCTGAAAACAAATAGCGCTAATTTTTAATTTAAAAAAAAATGTGACCATAAAAACAACTTCTTAGTTCTACTGTGCTCCTGTAATCCCAGGGCTCTGGAGGGAGAGTGGGTGCGGAGTTCATGGCCGGCCTGAGCTACACAGCAGCACCCTGCCTCAAAAATAAGCGAATGAATACGTACAAAAATAATAAACTGTGAACCAAAAACTCAGAGACCCAAGATCTGGTCTCACTGTTTTTCTATGTAAGAAGTTGGCAACAGAAAATAAATTAGAACAGAAACAAACAAACTGCTTAACAAAGAGAATCACTTTTCCCACGTCAGTAGTGTATTTATTGTGCTGCAATCTGAGAGCAGGGGATGAAGGGGTCTGGGAAGCCAGTACAGAATGTTCACAAAGATTCACACATCTCTAGTCATTACACGCTGGCGAGAAACAAAGTGTTGAGCCTCTGAGACCACACTGTGTTACTGTATGTGTTGCTAATTTTCTGCAAGGTTCATGACTGCATGCCTTCGTGGAAAATGTAATCTCAATGCACAATAAATAGAGTTTACAAAATATTCAGAAAGTCTGTACACACAGCAGACATCCTACACATGCAGTTTTGACAAAGTTGGAAGGTTCAGAAATATTCATGCGATTTTTTTGTCACATTTTTTTTTCTTTCCATATGATCCCTCTGTGACATCCCAACAAATTAATCTATATAAAAACCATGTGGAACAACGTCTCTTCCACAGCTTTCCAGCTGTTCGCTTCTATTTCATGAAATCCGTCTTTTTTCCAGTTGTTCGTTTCTGTTACATCTTTTGTAAACACCGAATTTGACTTGAGAGACCCGGCTCGGTCTCCCATTTCTCTCGTCTTGCATTAACAAGTAACACCTTGTAACAGCAAGCACTGGTGTACCGATCGTTAGCACCAAGGAGTCAAGGTATTGCACCAAAATGCATTTATACTTCATTTCTAGTTATAAAGAAGGTTTCTGCAACGTAGTCACAAGGGAAGTAAGCGTCACTCAAAGTTAGACACATTGAAAGAGATGGGTGACATCGCAGAAATGCTTGGTGTGTGCTATTCATAAATGAAATAATAAAAAAAGCAAGTTTGAAAGTTAAAATTAAATTTTACATTAGAGGACTCCTTGATTTTTTAAGTAAAATTTATTTCATTTTGTTGTATTTAAATGTTCTTTCCAACAGAAGAGGTAGGTGTATGTCCACATATGAAAAATCAGTAACAGCCACAAATCAAAACAAGGAAAGCCTGAGAAAATCAATATATACCCTTAGAGTTCTAACTGCATGTAAATGTGACTACCGTAGATGTTACTAACAAAGACATCAGTTGTTTCAATCATTCAATAATCTTGATCCTCATAATACATTTCTGCTAATAATAGGAGTATTCAAAGGCTACCTTCCTTTCTCATCACAAAAATAAAAAAAAAATTGTTTCCCACAGTGATTTGTGCCGTACGTCATGGTGGCCTTTGGGACAGGATTTCACTGTTATTCTTTCTTATTTTTACCAACACCATCATCATCATCATCAACAAGCCTCTAAGATTCTACAGAGATTAGCAGAGTTTTCAAATTTAATTACAGCCAAAAGGGAATGTTCTGACTACGGGTGGAGAGATCTGACCACAAGGGCCAATAAATGAATCCAAATTCAAATGTATCCACAGTCTATCTCTGGACAAGAAAATGTCAGTTTGCAACCAGTGGGGAACTAGTGATTTAGCAAAAAAAAAAAATTTTTTTTTCATAAAATTGTGTTTCTGTGATCATCTAAAATTCAGACTGAAGAAGGGGTGAATACAAGACAGGTGACATTTTCACCCACTCGAGAGGTGAGTATGAACAGGAGGAGGGGCTCCAAGGTCACAGTGGGACTGCTTTGGTCTGGACAACATCAAGGCTAATAAAAAAAATGTTTAAAATAAAAACGTCATAAATAAAACATCTGGGTACCATTTGGAAAGGTGTGCTCAGTCTGAAGGTGCACAGACCACATTTGCCTCTCTCCCCACCCCAGACCCTCTGCTTCTGTTGCCCCTGAAAGTTTCTATGACACAGGAGTTTCCTCACTGTCAGCCGGTTAAGGCCCAGGTCAGTCTACTCTCCTTTTGGCTTTCCGTTTTTCTGGGGTTTCCCATTTTCTAGCACTAGCTGCTTTTCTGACTTGTTCACACCATTTGCTGAAATACCATTCGCGGCCGTCTTTCCCGCTTTTGACTGCTTGGGCTCATTGTATGTCCGCGTGTAGAAGTTGAGGAAGAGGAATATGAAACTGATTGCATAGGCGATCAGAGCCCAGTGCATCCACTTGGGGAAGGGGCAGTCGGTGTAGAGAGACAGTGCTGTGTGCCCAATGGTCACATGGAACTGGACCTGAAAAACAAAAGCAGCAGGACAGGGAACATTTTTAATCAGAGTAGTAAAAGGCTTCCAGAGCGGGTGCCACAGTCTCCTATACAGTGGTCATGAGCCACTATGCTGTTTGAAAGTGTGTTACACTGTATGAAAGGCCAATAGTCTCTGCCTCTCCCTCCTTGAGAGCAGGGCTCCAGGGCCACCTGCTTAGCAAGGGCATTCTAGTGCTTTCCATAGATCTCCCACCTATCACTGTGCTTTTGTGTTTAAACGTGAGCTGATAGCCATCTGAAGCTGATCCTGTCTCTGCCGACTGTCTATCTCCTCATTAGAATGGAGCTCCCAGAGGCAGGGCTCTGCCTGCCTCGCTCGTTCCTGAGTCCCTGGCACAAAATTGGACATTTGAATACTCACTGAAGGGCATCTAAGGAGAGGGAACAAATGGCCAACAAGAGTAATGCAGCAGCATCTGTAGGGTCTTTTTAAATTCCTACAGTTTAGACTTCTTTTCCTTTACTAGGCTGTCAGCAAGTAGATACATTCACGTCATGCTTTTCATTATTTTTTTAGGCAGGAACCCAAAAATAATGAGGTTCGGGGACATTGTCACAAATGTGCATCCCTGTAGCTGGCTCAGCCTCCTTCTCCCCTGCCTACTGGTCTCCTCCTTCTTCTAAATACTCCTCTTTCTGCCCATGTCACAAAAGGACGCTCACTTAAACATGAACCTGAGCCCATCAAGTTGGCTCAGTGCCTTTCTCTGACAGGTAAGGTTCAGGCAAGTTTACATCTGAACGAACACCATTCTTTAAAAACTTATATTCCAATTAAAATCAGTAAATGCAAAAGAAAAATCCCCTTCAATTTTTATGAATTCTCAAGAAGAGAAAATTCAAAGCATTAGACATGCTCAAAGAATAAACTTAAATTCTGGTGCACTGGTCACCGAATGGTCTGAGGCACAGGATTACAGGTTCTGTAGCATGAGTAAGGGTTACCGTATTGTAAGATCCATATATTATTTAATTGTTTGGAGAAAATCAGACTCAGAAATTGAAGATCAGGATCCTATCTGATGTAATGGGCAACTATAGTTTCTTTGTGAAAGATAGCATTACCCATATTTCTATTTCATTAAATATTAAGATAATTTGTTTCACATGCATGATCAGTTTATATTAAATTTAACAATTCCCATGGCAAAAATCCAAAGTTTTAGAACTTTTGATTTCACAATGGCTCTTAGAACCTGTAGCACCGAAATAGGGTGTGTATAGGGTGTGATTGAGTATGAGGTAGCTCAAAGACAGCCCGGGGCAAGCCCCCACACAAGAGATTATACCATTTATATGATTTGGGTCCCTTTTCATTTTCTGGGGACCACTTGGCTCTCAATGAGAGGCATGAGTTCTACAGACCATCTCAAGAGCTTCCACAAATTCGCGAAGTTTCTTGGAGCATCTCTTTGCTAATGAGTCCCTCACACCCAGCATTCCCCAAAGGTTGTGTTTCCTGTTTGGTTGGGCAGCTGTGTAGCAACTCAAGGCAGAGAGGGATATTTCTAAATGCGATCCCACTGATAAAAACTGCGTGTACACTATGATTAAAGCATATTAGAATCCACTCTGAAGCCTGGAGATTAGCCACCAGCTTGGATTTGCATTTTCAGTTTGATTACAGGCCACACCCAAGTTCTGAACAGTGCTTTGATGCCTGCACTGGGATGCAATGAGAAGCCCTACAAGGAGGAGTAGCTGAGAACCGTCTGCCTAGAACACAAGAGTTCAAATCCTTGGCTCTGCTCTTCAAGCACAGAGTTTTACAGAACTAGAAAGAGCTCTCGAGCCTGTGCTGGATCCCATCCCCCACCCCTACTCTTCCTTGGCTTCGTGCTTTCTTTGCTACATGTATAGGGTCTATTAGCAAGAACCAAAACATGGAGAAACTGGAAATTTATGCAAGAACAAGAAGAACAAAGAAAATAGTAAGTTAGGAAAAAGAAATCATTCATGGAAAGTATTTTCCAGTCACCTATGAATCTATATACTTTGTGGCATATTTATATTTAACCATCCTGTTCACAGGTAGTTTTACAGACTTTCTGTCAGAGGGACAGGTACTGAAACCAATCTTTAAGGGCATTATAAAGCAAGTGGCTATTGCTAGTTCACCCAAGCCAGCCTTGACGCTGCATCTTGCTTATAAAGTAGGTTTTGTGATGAAAAACAATGTAAAACACCTTGGCACTGTACAAATAACAAACTTCAAATATTTTAAATATTTTGTTTTGGGCAACAACCAGAAGTAACTCTTCCAAACATTTAACTCACCAGCTGCAGCATGGTCAGGTATCGCTTCCACCAAAGATATTTCTGGATCCAGGGGCCAAATGCAGTCAGCCCATAGTAGGAGTACATGATCACGTGGATGAAAGAATTCATCTGGGCCCCAAAAAACGCTGTTGAGAAACGAGAGGCAATTGCAAGAAAAGTGATGCTGGGCAGAGACGGCACTGGGATGGAAAGTGAATGAGTCTACCGTACCATCTAGGTTAGTCTCAAATCTAAGCTCAGTGATGCTACAGGGAAAGCTTCTCAAATTAAGCTTGACACTTCTCACCATTTAGCTTTGAGGGCTCTTCTTCTTTTTTTTTTTGAAATAAGGCACATAAATAAAAATGTGTATTGCTAAAATTCAAAAGGTTTGTGAAACAGTATATTCTCAAATGGGGTACTCCAGCAAGCTTCAACAAACAGAAAATGACTGCTTCCCCCTACTTTCCTCTATTTTAATCCTACCTAGCAGTAATTCCTTGGAAAGAGGCTATGATGCTTTTAAGTGTTTATAGAGACTTGTGATATGTTACACTATAGTCTTTAGAGATAGCAACATGCACACCAGTGCCGAAATAAAACTAATTTCTTAGCTTTCTAAGTAGTTTTAAATATGACAGCATTACATATATTGAGTGATGAATCCATTTCGTTTACACAGATCTAGCGATACCCTACTCAGTCAAATGCAACGGAACTTATTTTCTTTAGAATATTCATTAAGTATGTACACGGTAATGCATTTTGCCGTGATGTGAGCTGTAGGGTCAGTTTATATTTATAATTCTTCTTGAAACTCTGAGTTTTGCTTCAAATTTCCTAGTAATTTTTAAGTGTGAAATGCTTAGGTTGCAAATAGTGACATAATGCCAGCCTGTGTCCAGAGGAAAGGGCTGTTTGCAGCTCAGCATGCTCACCTCCCATGCCCAGAGGAAAGGGCTGCTTGCAGCTCAGCATGCTCACCTCCCTGTGCCCAGAGGAAAGGGCTGCTTGCAGCTCAGCATGTACACCTCTCTTAGTCTGCAGCCATCGGGAAGACCAGACTAGAGGCTAGACTAGATTAGACTAGAGCTATGACATCTGATCCTCTTCAGCATTAATGGGCTATGTCAAAGTTCACTTAAATAAGAAGCAATGAGACCATATAAGGTCATATCAGAGCAGGAGTAAGCTGAGGGCTTGGACTGAAAATGAGGCGTTTCTATTGGATAAGAGCTGCCAATCAGTACCGTTCCCCACTCAAGTTAATATTGTTGTCTGGCATTTGGGCTTTGTGGTTGTGCTTATCTTGGGCGAAAGTCTTTAGGAGCTCAATTCTTCCCAGAGGAAGAGCTGAAGTTTTCAAGAAGCGAGAGGCAGATGAACGGAGATGATTGACCATGAAACCAAGCTAAATGGCATGCTGGGGGCGCTCAAAAAGGCAGGCAGGGTCCTCACCTTGGCCGCCTGCCACCCACTTGATTCCGATCCACCACAGTGTGAACATGGTGCAGTGATGGTACACGTGAAGGAAGGAGACCTGGTTGTTCTTCTTCCTCAGGATGAAGAACACGGTGTCCAAATACTCCACTCCTTTTGATACAAAGTACCACCATAAGGCAGCAGCTATCTGTAAGAGAGGAGAGGAAGATCGTCAAACACAGACTCTATTGGCGGCCTCCACCAGGTGCTGACAGATGCAGGACACCACACACAAAATGTACAAGGGGTGCAACCATTCTGCGCCCAGGTGGGTTTGATACCTAACCATGTACCTGCCTGAAAACAAATCTGAGCTTTCTGGGCTTAGAGCCAAGCAGTGGCCGTCGCTGGACACAGACTGAGCCTCCATCACACCGCTGTGCTTTGCAGCTTGTACAGAAACCACATCTGTAAACACTTGAGGGGTTCCTACAGGGCCTAGGTTTATACAGCAACTAGTCTCCATATATTAACAAATCTGTCCATTCCCTTTAGCTGTACAACATGGCATCTAATCACTGTGGCCTGTGTTAGTAAAGTCTTTTAAATGATCACAATTAAAAACCAACAACAACAACTATTTCCTAGGTCACAAATATAATCCTGTTTACACAAGGAAGTCTTTTCTCGGGCTCTAATTAAGACACCAGATGGTACAGAAAGATTAGGTGACATGCTGGGGGATTAAGGATCCAGCAAGAGGTGACCTCTATATATGTTTTAAATCATTCCACAAGGATCTGATTGTAACAATGAGCAAAATGTAATGGTCCTATAGTAAACATTTTCTAAACATCATATATGTAAACATCATATATAAAAATTAAAATTTCAGTTCACAGCTGAAATGTATTTATAAATCTTTCTGTGACAGAGGCTAAGATCTCTTCCCTAAATTTACACCTGCATCTAAGGCCTATAATGTGTTTTTGTTTGTGTGGTTTGTTTTTATTTTTCTTTTGAAAAACAAAATTCTTTTTTAAGTACTGGGATCATAACCGGGGCTTCGGGGCAACTTGAAGTTCTTAATTCTAGAATCAGACATCACTTAGGATAAGCATTCTCTAACATTACAATTTTAAAAGCTAGAGAAAGAAAAAAGAGAAAGACCAGAAACAAACTAAAGTGTTATGTTTAACCAGCTGACAAGCGTCTACTTAACCTGAGCAATGCTGCTAGAAACCAGGGAATTAGCTGAAAAGCTGCTTGACATCACTTAGTCTGTCCACAGCAACACTGTGCTTGATGCCCATGGTTACATCGCTGTAAGATGAAGTGACTGCCCATTTCAGCAGGGTAAACTGTAGGGCAAAGTCTGCTTTCTGGTCCATGTGGACCTCCAAACAAGCCCAGGTCACACATAAGGGCATTTCTGCTTAGTCGGTAATCTACACTGGCTGTCTTTTAATGGCACACGTCAAAATGAGGAATGATACCTCATGGTGCACGCAACGCACACAAAAGGAGTCTCGGAGTAAACTGCTCACTTCCCCCACGTTCTCCCTTAGACGGAGAGATGGGCAGAATGAGACTCCGAGCAATCGGCTCAATTATCAGAGTTTTCGTCCTACGTAGGTTTTCACGATAGCTCGTTTTTACTGAAAGAGTGCTACTGAATTTGACTGCACGGATATTCACTCACTGAAGTGGGTGGAGTCTGAGAGTGTCAGCAGAATGGATTCACAAGCAGCAGGATGGTAATTTCCAGCTTTCCCCTAATAATATTAACCGACTGCCTTATCCAAGGGATGTCCTCCTGGGAGAAGGGAAGTCGGGGCCTCTCTTCCCACTTTGAACAGGAAGCCAACTCTCCACTTAGGAGATTCTTTGGCAATGCAGTTATCAGAAGAAAATCTGTTTCATATCCTGTGAATCTGAATGAAGCAACCTTGCTCATTCTCTCAGTCACACCCCGGGTTTTGTTTTCTTAACTGTTTCTTGACATGCGGATCACCTGCCTCCCAGCCCTCACCAGAATGTGAGTGCTTTGCAGGCAGAGACTGAGTCTATCTTCTCGCTTGTGTGGTCAAGGCCCTGCCACTCTATACATATAATGCAAAATACACATGCACTGAGCAAATGAAGCCAATGTGCCAAGCAAACATGTGACTTTTCGTAAGCCTTTTTGTAGGGAAATTACATAGAAGTGAAGTACTAGGTACATTAGAACAATTTAGTTATGGTTCTTGGTGAATGTCCATATATCTGCCCTAAAATTCATACTAAAAAGTATTTTTCTCAATCAATGTTATTACACACATATAGCTTTATTGCATACATATAAAAACATTCATAGAACATATAAAACATCCATTTATATAAACTGGGTTTGTTGAGTATAATTTTTATAGCAATCATAGGTACAAGAGATCATTAAATACTTAATAAATTACTATTTCTTTCACTAAAATTGAATGATAATTTTACTAATGTAGGTGACTGGGAAAACAAGATATAGCATTATATATTAGTAGTGATTATTTTTTACAAATTTAATAAGGACCAACTTCATACCCGTACAAATTATCTTGTACCTCCTAAACCCTAAATAATGAAGATATTTTCCTCAAATAAGTTAAGTCTTCTGAGTTTCTATTTTTGACACAAAAGTTTAAAAACAAAATTGGAGACAGAGTCTCACTATATAGCTCTGAAATGCCTGGAGTTTGTTATAGAACTGGGTTGTCCTTGAACTCATAGAGATTAGCTTTCTCCAGTGCTAGAATTAAAGGTGTGCACTACCATGTCTGGCAAAAATCAAAAATACTTAGCTGGGCAATGGTGGCACACACCTTTAATGCCAGCACTCAGGAAGCAGAGGAAGGCGGATCTCTGTAAGTTCGAGGACTCTACAAGATCTACAATAGCTAGTTCCAGGACAGGCTCCAAAGCTACAGAGAACTCCTGTCTTGAAAAAAGAATCAAAAATACTGTTTACAATCAAATATGGAATGAACCATTCGTAAAGTACTACAATCCAATAGTGTTCATTTTTACAACACTAAATAAAAGGGGAAAAGCAGAGCTTTCTTGATCTCACTCACTCAACACATTTCACTCCCATACAAGACCACATCGTTTATATCCTGAGAGTCCATAAAGTCAAACTGCTTGTATCGATCAACAGTATTCAGTGGTACACTCACCCTGACTTCATTAACGTTATTAGAATAATCCACTGTCTGGCAAATATAGCTGTATCCTGCGTTGTAGGATCCCATGAAGAGCTGGGGACAAAAGGAATAACATTGGAGTAAAGGTGTAGTGGACACAGCACTGAAAACAGTAAATCTGACACACAATTTGAAAGCTGTTACTTTCCTTAAAGACATTTTGACGATATAAAATATTTTAAGGTTATTTTTTCTTTGTTTTGTGATGCTGGGCATCAAACTCAAGACTCACATATACTGGGGAAATGCTGTACCACTGGAGCTGCAGCCCCAGCCCTAAAATGGACATGTAATGTGTTAGAAGTTCTAAAATTCTTGGTGTAGTAGCTTTTACTATAATTTTAATAAAGACCAAGTTGAAAAAAAAAACAAGCATATTCTTTTCACAAGATATCAACTCCATCAAATACATAATAGCTTTTCATTATTTAGAGAATAGTTTATTAGTTCTTATAATTAAACTTGCTTAGACAAGACCTTACATATTTAGCATAGTGCACTATTTCTACAGAAACTAGAAAAATGCATTTAGTATTTCTAGACCAATATGGATGCCGATTCTATACAGTGCCAACTCAACTGAAGAAAACATTACAGTCGCTGTGCTGGCTAGTTTTATGTCAACCTGACACAAGCTAGAGTCATTTGGGAAAAGGGAAAATGCCCCCACCAGACTGCCCTGTGGGCAAGCAGAGCACTTTTTGATTACTGGTTGACATTGGAGGGCCCAGCTCGCTGTGGGTGGTGCCACCCCTGGGGCAGTTTGTCTTGGATACTCTAAGAAAGCAGGCCGAGCAAGGCAGTGAGCAGTGTGCCCCTGTGGCTTCTGCTTCAGTTCCTACCCTGACTTCCCTTTGACCAGACTGTTCCCTGCAGAAGTAAGATGAAATAAACTCTTTGGATTCTGAGCAGAGACCTGTCCCACCTTAACTAATTCATATCTGGATCCAAAGGGGTGTGTGCCCAGCACACTAAGCGAAGGTATCCAAATAAAGCGAATGAAAGGGACTGTGAAGCTGAGATTCTATGGGCTTCGTTGCTGATGGTGGCTTGTCTAAAGAAAGGTTAATTTCTTAGTATCTAAGCTTAGTATCTCTGCTTACGCAGAATTTTAGTAAGTCTCTTAGGAACAAATTCCTTAGGCTTTAGCAACTTAAAAATGTGCCAATCCAGCCTGCAGGATTTTCTTTCAAAATATCCTGGAGAATTTGCTGATGTCCAGAAAAGAGTGATGATTAGCAGCCACGCCTGCAAGACAGCCAACTCCTTTCAGCTCCAACACACGGCACAGTAAATTACATAAGACGGCTCAGTGTGAAACTGGTACTTCCAAGTATTTGACCAGAGCTCCAGGTCACTTTGCAGCTCACCAAGTGCCAACATCCCAAAAAGGCACCTCTCTTGCCTCCCATAACAGCCTTCCATGGTTGTCAGGTATCTCACCATTTGAGAGATGAGAAAGATGAGACCAAAACAGCTGTACAGCTCCCAATGTCAAAACTGTTGCTAAGAGCATCCTGAGAACCCATGCATGCTTCAGAGTCCCGTCTCAACAGCCCTCTTACTCTCCAGTTCCTGCTTCTGTTACCCAGAAATTCTAAAGGTTAAAAATGTTCTCTTCGAGTAGCTAACGGCCATGCTGAGGTGCATGCCGAGGCTGCAACAGTAGTTTCAAGGGGTCTCAGTTTTGAATCCTTTCCAACAATCCCGGGGAACTATTTGATTGATAAACCTACCTCTCGGAAGATGAAAAGGTTAAGCAAAACCATGCCAAAATTATAGACGATGAGCACTAAGCGCATTTGAAACGGCTCCCGGTCTTTCATCCACTTTGGACCCAGCCACACGAACAGGAGATACAATGTGCTTATGCTTAGCGTTGGCCATGGAGACTGCATCAGCGGCCAGTTTTCTACGCGTTTATCTACCGAGAGAATGAAACAGCAGGAAATTTACAAAACAAAATTTACTTAGGAACTAAAATGCCCTAATTTCACACTTGGAGTAAGCACGGATGACTGTCCCATGAAAATACATGGTACATAAAACAAACACCATCAAGTCCTTCAACTAGCATTGGAAAATAACTTTTTTTACTTAGTGGTATGTTTTATAAAGAAGCAAAGAAACGGAGAAGGAATGTACTAATAATATAGGCAACAAGCTTGAGGTGAAAGTGAAATAGGGACTTGATAGCTTTAAGATAATATTTTAAGGAAATACTCAGTTTCCGCACTAGGTATGTAAAATTTACTAGGTAGTATGGCGCAGCTCTCTATGTCCATCCCTGAAGCAAGCACAAATCAGACTGATGAGGTACTGGGCCATGGGAGCCATGAGATGGGATCCCTCTGGAAATGGGAGCTGCCATACAATCATACTTGAGGAATTAAGGTAATCTCACTACACTTCTAACTTACCACCAATGGGAACCATATTTAAGATGCGTTGCTACTTTTCCATTGATGGTGTGTATCACTTTCACTGTCTATGAAAAAGCTATCTGTATGCTTCACTCCCCTTAATTCACGGGTGTGTAAATATATAGAATGGAAAAAGTAATTTCACTTAAACTAAATTGATTGCCCGTAATATTTAAATACGTAATCAAGAATCAATTTTATAATTTAATATTCTCAAAATATTGGTAAAACATTAATAAAATAAGAAATTATAATGAAATAACAGATTACGAAAAATCCATTTATATATAAAGTGTATTAAGCTTAAACTTTATATTTCTAGGGTTATAAACAGCATTTCACTCATTTATAATCAAATATCTAATTTATGCCTAGCAATACAAAATACATTTAACATTCTATTTTCAGCATAGTTTATTTCAAAAAATTAAAGAAAAAGTCTTGCAGCCAGTTCCTAGAATCCAGCCTAAACGAGTTTCATGTAGTGCTAATTACAGGAACTTCTATGTAAACTGACTTGTTTACTAAAACTATTTATGTAAAATGGATCTGCATTAGATAACTAAATACTAGAATACTGTTTTAAAATATACTAAGCACACCATGTGTGGCTCAGAGGTAGAGAAAGGATCTCTCTTTCCTTCTGTATACATACATATGCACACAAATCTATACCTATGCTTAAATGCACACTAATCTATTTCTATAGATTGTCAACTGGAAATACAATGCAAGAAAACATTAAGTTTTATGAAATAATCTTCCAAGTCAGGAAGAGCCATAATTACTATGGTTTCAATGAAATAACAGTTAATAAACAGAAATTTAGACAGAAAGATTTTGACTCTGAGGCCAGTCTAGCAAATTGTAAGAGATATCCTGTCTCAACGAAACAAAGAAGGGAATTTCCTTCTCTAGGGTCTAGCCAGATACGTGCAGTTCTCACACTTCATCAAGGAAACTTTTCTTTTCAACAGTCAGTGGCCATTATAGAAAACAACAACAAATCAAAATGCAAAGTTATAGAGCCCAGTCCCAAACGATACATCTACAACCCAAAGCCCACACCAATGGCTCAGGGATTGCTGCAGAAGAGGGGGCAGAAAGTCTGCAAGAGCTGTGAGGTTGTGTCTCCTAGAAATGTCAGAACCTACAGAGGAAGTCTCACCAACATGGCTGCCTAAATGTGAGCTAGAACAGGATGATTCCGGGAGCCACGTGAATGCGGACAGGGGGAAAACCCTTCACAAAGGGCTACAGACAACCAAGGGATGCCGAGAGTGGAAGAACAGTCTTCCCCAGGGAAGAACACGCCGATCGGTTATCCAACAGCAAACAGTCAGCTCTGAAAAACATATACAAAGAAGGAATACACACACCACCACCACTACCACCACCACCACCAACAACAACAACAACAAAAGTTAAAGAAAAAGAGACCATGAATTTGAAAGATTACGGAAAGATGGGAGAGTCTGGACAGAGGAAAGGGAAGATGGATATGATGTTATTATATATTAACCACAAAATTTAAAAAAAAAAACAAAAATGAAGGAAGTAGAAAAAGACAAAATCTCCTGAGTAAACTGGGAGCATGGGCTATGGGAGAGGGTAGAAGAGGCAGGGAGAAGGAAGGGGAGCAAAGAAAAATATATAGCTCAATAAAAATAATTTAAAAAATACAAAAACAAAAATGAAAAAGGAAGAAAACATAATTACTTTAAGAAAAAACATCCATGGAAACAAGGAAAACTGCAAACATTTTATTTCCTTCTTCACAAAAAAATGGTAGGTCTACTGCTCATGGTAACTATGATTATACTAGTTAAATCAAATACTACCAGGTTTAAATTAAAATATTTCAAAAACAGAGGAAATAGTAAGCCAATCAGAAGGAGGAAGAGACTAAAACCATGTTGACTTGTGGTGGCATTTGTCACAGGCCATGTGACCGTCATACGTGCTCATTTATGGCTTAGAGTACATGTTATCCTTCAGTGAGAATTACTGTCCTATAAACATAAATCTTTTTTTGCCAGAGGCCCCCACAGAAACCAGTCTAGGTCTTCAGTGATGTGGACAAACTCCCGAAGCCTAGAGTCTTGTTCTGGGTCACAGTGGAGTTGCTATAGGGTCCTATTTTCCACAAATGCCAGGGCAAATACTGACCCATCAGATGGAAGTCAAGAGCCAAAGCCGTGCTAATGGGACAACTGGCATGGCAAGGAAAGAAGATACATTCTTCTGCAGAGAGACCTTAATGTCTAAGATCCTAGAGTATGGCTCATATTTTATCTCACCACACTGAGAACTCCTACTGATTTCACAGAAAGTTCTGAGCAGTAAGTGAAAAAGAAAAAAGGAAGGAAGGTAGGGAGGAAGGAAGGAAGGAAGGAAGGAAGGAAGGAAGGAAGCTCGGTCAATAAAATTCTTGCCATGTGAGTATAAGGACCTAAATTTGATCCCTAGAATTCACACCAATCTGGCAGTGTCTCTGTATGCTTATTATCTAAGTGCTGGGGAGGCAGAGACAGGGGGACTCCTGGGGCTTGTCGGACAACTGGTCTAGTCCTGTCCATGAGTGCCACATTTAGTAAGAGACCCTATCTCAAAAAATGATGTGCCAAGTAATTAAATAAGACATCCAGTACTGATCTATGCATAGAAAACACACACACCTATATAAAAACATGTACACACATAGCTTATACAAACAAACACATACAAAAGAAAGAAAATGGAAAAAGAAAACCGGCATACAAAGTTATTCAGAAATTAAGAGTAGACAACGTACTTCTTTAATCTTTTTTTTTTTTTTTTTTTTTTTTTTTGGTGAGAGGTAGGGGATCTCACTCTGTTTTCCAGCCTGTGCTCAACTGTGTGAGTTCAAGTGATTCTTCTGCGTCAGCCCCTCAAACAGTAGATAGAACCATGGTGTCCCGCTGGGTCTAGCTTGCTTCATGCTGATGTGCGGTGTGAGACACTGTCTCTTTCCCTCATTCATCACAAACACTTAGAGAGGACTACCAGGGTGAGGCAGAGGATGACACAGGTCAGAAATAGAAGGCTCTACCACATCAGACGCTGAGGGAGGCTGAGACGCAACTGAGAGGTCAGATGACGGTAAGAAACTACAGGAAGCATGCAGGACACAGCCAGTGAACGACTGAGCTCCAGCCCTGGCCCTGTCACAGTGCACAATCCCCCCGAAGATCCTTCACCTACAGACACAGGAGGGGAGAAGGTGAAGTAGATTAGGTTTCTCCAGCTTTAAAGAAACAACAAGTTCTGGGAGGAGTTGACACACACACCAGCGCTTTGATGGGTGCTGCAGTCCATTTCCAGGGATGCTGCATTTTCTGTGAAGCCTCGACTGAGGCCTGGGATTCTCCACATTCTCATGTGATACTCCAAAAGAGTACATGAGTTATTTGCCTTTATTTCTAATATGTCCCTTAGTGGTTGGCCTGGAGCTCATGATTCTCTTATTTCAGTCTTCTTGGGCTTGGGCTAGGTTATAATAGTTTCCATTTGTAACAACATATTTACTGTTTCTTGAGGCTCATGACAAGCTGGGCCGACCTGTTTAAATGTGTCAGTATGGACAGTAACCAAGTAATTTTACCTATGCTGAAAAGTCATAGATAGTTACTCAACCATGTTGTCAAAACTTTCAAAGTGTTGTTAACTGTTTTAAAAAGACAAGGGGTTCATCCACCTGAAATGGGTATGTATGTATGCATGTATGTATGTATGTATGTATGTATGTATCTATCTATCTATCTATCTAGACAGGGTCTCGCTACATAGCCCTGGCTGTCCTGGAATTCCCTATGTAGAGTAGGATGGCTTTGAACTCACAGGGATCCACCTGCCTCTACCTCTAACCAATGCTACAATTAAAGATGTGTACCACCATGCCCAGAGCATGAGCTTTCTTGAACACATCACTGACACATTTTTGTTTCTACCTTGATCTGTACCTTATGATCATACAACACTAAATCCAGTCACATTGTGACTACTGTGTCGGCGGAGGGGGGAAGTGTGCAGATCACTTGGTCGCTGACCTGTGGAAATTCACCATTTATTGGAGGAGGGGACAGACTTGAAAACCCAACTGCTCTGCAGCAGAATCCGAGTCCAAGCTGAGCAACAGGACAGGAAAAGGGACAAGACACAGCTCAGTGACAGACATCTGAACTTTTACTCAATGAAGAAAAGTATTCCGGCAGACAGGCAGGCACAGTGGTCCTGTTTCAGAGATGGGCACTAGAAAAACGGACTCAGAACTCCTTAGTTGATTGACAAGACCCTGGTAGCAGTGAATGACAGACTGCAGGGGAAGGGGATTGTCGGGAGTCATGGAAACCATGTCAGGCCCACCTCCACTGCAGACATAGGAGCAAGAGCTGTTTAATGCACTGATTCCCAGGCCCACCCCAGGTTCTGAACTGACAACTCTGCAGTCGGGGCTCAAGCCTGGCTTCAGGACTCCCAT